CGGCATTCGACTGTCAATACATATGTAATAGATAAACGATTAGTAACGCACAATCGATATTATATTATAATGATTTATTGACTTTTTTCATCCTTCATCATTAATGAAATAATGTCGCGCTAAACGCAATTATTTTATATCAACATAAAACAAATATGGCGAATAATTTGTTTCTAAATTTGATCAATTATTTTCTGTTTTCGTTATTGTGAAGGATATCTCATATTATTAATCAATGAAAAATAAAACAAAATCTTAATATATATACTATATATAACATAATGACGATTTTACATCTTGGAGGTTTGAAAAAATTTAATTAATACATTTTTTATGCGTATATTAATCCAAATAATTTATTTGATATACATATTTGAATCATAAGAGAAAAAAGTACAATAATTTTTTTCTGTTTATTTTTTTTCTGTTGTTTTTTTATTCGAATAAACTATTTATTGATATTTTATATACTTAAGTTGTTTTTTATTGATTAGCAATTAATAATGAGTAATTACATAATCAGTAGATAGAAAAACGATAAAATTTATAAAAATTGAATATGAAATTATAAAAAATTAAAGAACTTTGATTTTCTGAAAATATATATACTATTATCGCATATATCTCTTGTAAGAAGTTGATTGAATTGTTTCATTGACAATGAAACATATTGTCCTAGTAAATATTTAAGGTCAGATTTGTCGAAGTTACATGTATTTCTCGTTTTCTCGAGATAAAGAAGACAGAAAATACATAATACACATACATGTTAAAAGCATATCTTGTAAAGTTTCATATTTCAAGTTAAATATTCGAAAAATTACAGCTAATAATAAATAAATTGTGTAATAATTCAAATAACATAAAAAACTAAAATTTATTTAAATGAAAAATAAAAAATTAATGGATCTATTGATTTATATGTATAAAATATCTAATATTTGTTTTATATTTATTTTAATATTTATTTTATCGATACAGCCATTTTAATTTTAAATATTTAAAAAAAAAAAATCCACTGAGGATACGAATAATTTTATATATAGCTCATAAATTCAATATTTGAATTCTATTTTACAAAAAAAATCATCTAATCCTAAAATTCTGATTAAATAAAAATTGTATATGTAAAATATGATAGAATACACAGAGAAATTTTTTCGTCGATTAAAAATCTCTTTTGAGGAGAATCAAAATTTTCAGTTTTCATTTTTTCAATTTTGTAAATTTAAGCAAAATATAATTAAAATTATTATGAAATGCAAATATTTTATACATATATTTTAAAAACAAATTTAAATTTAATATTGATCTAAAACTTTAAAATGTAAATATTTCCTCTGCTTTAAAAAGATATAATGAAAATAGAATCCTTCATCTACACATATAGTTTCAATTCTCTAATATGAAAATTCATAATAGATAAAAAAAGCATATAAGTCATACGCATATAAATTGAATAATCTGAGAATACTTTGATATTTGAAATATACACTACTATATACTACTATACATAAGGTAAAATTATAAGAAAAATATTAACTTCTGCAGATTTAATTTCGTATTATCTATGAATACGATAATTTGAATTTGTCTGAATTTCTCGAAAAATCACTACTTATCAAATTTGTCATTATTATTTGTTTTTGTGAATAATCTATTAGAAAATCAATTTTCTATAAATATTTAAAAGAATTAAAATTATTGATATCATTATTTTGCTAATACGCACATTGTATGAAAAATGAAAATTTTTATATATATTTTTGTCTTATTTTAACAACATTATAACAACAATATTATAATTATTAGAATGATTAAGTTAAATGACGTTTAAGTCAATTAGCTTATTATGAAGTATTTTTTTAATTATAAAATATAAAATCAATATGAAATTAACTGAGAATCTCAAACTTTCCTGCTGAAATATTGTCTTAATGTTTCTTTAAGACATAAAAGAAAAAAATGTTATCGTCACGTTATCGTCACGTGCTGATGTTAGCTAATAACAAGCTAGAGGATAACGAAGAAAATTGGCACGCGTCGCGCATGCGACATAATGTTTTACTTTATAAAAAATTGTTTTACTGAAATCTAACGTACTTACGTTAAGAAAAGTTGTCAAGTTGCAAACAATACACAATTGATTATATATGGCTAGTTTAATCATGAAAAACTACTAGAAAACAACAAAAAATGGTCGAAATTAAATATATTATTATCTATCTTTATTTTTTTTTTAAATATATTGAAAATTTTTTGTATTTTCATTGCATTTACAAAAAATATTTTTATTTCATTTACAAAATAATATGTTAAGCAAAATATATAGTGATATACAGTATTTGAGACTAATTAAACAAGCTAAACAAATTATTTAGATTATGGAAAAAACTCAATAATAAATAATATTGTAGCATAAATAATTTTTATTTTTATGTGATTATTAACAAATAAAAAAATATTTTTATTATTTAATATAATATATTATAATATTAATCAATTTTTTAAAAGATAAACTAATATCAACTAAATAAATAAAATAAATAAATGAAATTTTATTACGATTTTTTTAAAATAAAAATATTTAAAATATATCTATCATGAAATTATAAATCAAAGAGAAATAATCGATTTAAAATAATCAATATGTCAATATATGTTATTCATTATACATATTTAATATAAACTCTATAAAATTTTTTTTAAGAAATTATAAAAATATTCTCGATTTTGTATAAGATTTGCGATTGTTATGAATTTCGTGTTTGATCGTACTACTTCGTGAAATTTCGATAAAATTCGATGAACTTCGGTAAAATTCGGCAAACAGCATGTGCGTCGAAAATAAGCGCGAAATCAGTATACTTTTTCATTGCTAAATATCTATAGAATAGAATAAAAATATTGAAAAAAATTTAAATATAATATAAACTTAAATATAAAGCATTGAAATCCTAAATTATAATAAAATAATTTATATTTTAAAATATTAATACTATTTTAATATTATTATAATTATATATATGTTTCACATATTTTTATAATATTATAAATTTTTTTTTAAATATAACTAATAATAAAAATTAATTTTTTTTACGAAAAAATTAATGACAATATATAATATTAAAATATCAAATTAATCAAAGATTAAAATATCCATTTTAAATCT